AAGATTTATATATATATATATATATATATATATATATATATTAGTATTTTATATGATTTTTAATAAATGTATTTTAGTATCTTTTTATCCAAACGTTGAAACCACTATCAAAACGTAAGTTGAAAGCTGCGATTACAGGATGATTGATTGCACCGCCACCACTCGCAAACGGATCGATTGCGCTTTTTGTAGAGTGGCGACAGTTGAAAAACTGAATGATTAAACCGTAGATACGCAATCTCTATCAAACTTGAAGAATCAAAACATATGTTTTTTTTATACGTTTCGATAACGTTTTTCTGTTATAATCAAAATACCATTAACGAAATTTTAAAAAAAGAAAACTAATTTTCTCCATTCTCTCTCATATGAACGAGATTTCTCTATATAACTCATTCTCTTCTTCTTCGAATAAGGTTTTAACTTCACTAGAATCTCGTCGGAAGCTCGTTGGAAATTCGTTAGACCAATTCATCTTTGTCGTCTCTAGGTATGTTTGTTTGAATTCTATGATTTCTTTTCTCCGATTTGTTTTTCTTTTCTCCGATTTCTCCTTGTAGGTCTATTTGAATCATATCTATGGTTTTCTTCTTAGTTCAGGGTCAAACTTACTTACTTCTCACAAATTCTGATTTAGAATCATATTTTTGTTTTTTGGATTAATTTATGGATCTGAGATTATGATGAACTTTCTGAGCAAATGGGGATCGATTTTTTTTTTCTGGATTAGTTTGCCGATCACAGATTAGAATGAACTTTCTGAACAAATAGATATCGATTTTTTATGGGTTAGTTTGTCGATCTCACATTATGATCAGTGTTGTGGGTCGGTTCTGATATCCTTACTAGAAATTCCAGTATTCAGATATGGAATCATGTTTTGGTCCTGACTCTCTAAAATATGTTTTCATTATGTCAATTGACCTGTGAAATTCATCCCAAGAATGATCTGCAAAAACCTACAACGACGTACATATATTATATATTTATGTATGAAGTAGGGGTTTGAAAAATTGATGTGCATATGCACGCAATTTATATCTTGGAACTCGATAAAATCTGTTATATTAAGTTTTCAATGCTCGTAGCAATTTATGGTTATTATAAAGTATAACAAACTTTTTTCACATTTCATTAAAAAACTTATTTGAAGCTATTTTTATATCTTGTTGATGATTTTGCTTAGTATTAGTATTATAATTTGAGTTTTATTTTTGATATTATTATTTGTTAAAAAAGATAATAGTATCATATGATTATATAATTTTTAGATTTATCGATAATTATTTTTCATATTTTATGATAAGATATTTTTAAATTAAATATAAATTAAATTAACAAAATTTATATTTTAAAATATTTTTATATAATTATTTATAAATTATATAAAATATTTTTTTATCAAATGATAATATAAAAATTAATTTTAAAAAGGGTAATCGGCAAAAAATCTCTGTATTTCTCCATGTCAACGAAAAACTTATATTTTTTTATTACCAAATAAACCTTGAATTTAATCTGATTAACTGATAAAATCTTGTATTTCTAGATTAGTAATCTAAAAAATCTCTGTGTTATGTTGACACGATAAAAACAGAAAAGTGATGTGTGACAATCAGATTTACTAAAGCATGTATACCTTTTGCCATGTCATTATAATTCATTTAATTTTAAATGAAATATATAATTGTCAAATTTTATATGAAAAAAAAGAATATATCTCCTAAGAAGAAGAGAAAGGTTCGGTCATGGAAGCTGAAGAGTCCAAGTTTAGTTACGATTACAACTACAGCAGTACAACCAGTCAAACCTTAAAAAAATACAAGTTTGGTTACGATTACAAATAATTACGGTTCAACAAATCAATTTTTAATCATCCGCAATTATAGAAAATCACAACTGTTTCGTTTGTGGGTAAAGCCGCGCAAAGTGTCACCCCTTGTTACGATCAAACACGTCTCGAAGTCAGTTTTTTAATCGGTTTTCATACTACCGCATCTAACCCGGTTTTTAATCGATTTCGAACACATTGAATTGGTAAAGTTTAAAACCGGTTGAGGAGTACCGGGTTTTGACAAGGACTTGAGATGTCGGGGAAGAAAACTGATACATCTGCTACTGGGAAAGCGATGATGGAGACAGCGAAGAGGGCACAACCGAGAGACGACTACGTCGAGGAAGAAGAAAGGCGAAGCGATGCTCCACCGGAATTGCCCTGTCTTCCGCCAGAGATCGTAAGGGAGATTCTCATTCGATTACATGCGAAATCGATCGGCCGATTCAGGTGGGTCTCTAAGCTCTTTCGCTCTCTCTCGTCGAATCTTGCGTTTGCGAAGACCCACCTCGATCTTTGCCTTCAAAACGACGCCTTCCCATCGGGTCGGACAAGGGTCATCATTTGAGATGGCTATCTCTACACGGTGTCTTTCGATTCGATCGTTGATGCGTGTGACGGAATTAGGGATTTGGGTGCTGTTGAGATCCCTGAGTCTCATGTCATGGTCAATCTCGTCTCATTGTATTATCCGGAAGACTCGTTTGAAATGGTCGGGTCGGGTCTTGCAATGGGTTGGTGTGTACCACTAATGGTGCAGCTGACGTGTTCTTGTTCAATCTGACCATTGGAGAATCTAAGAGAATTCCGGGTGTGCTCGAATTGCTAGATTCGGTGTCCAAAGAGGAGAGATTCTATGGGGTTGGGTTCAGGTTCGATTCCATAACTGATGATTATAAGGTGGCGGCGCTTATCACGGGCGATGTTCTGAATGCTAGTGTTTATTCCCTCAAGACAGATTCTTGGAAATGGGTCGGAGATTCGCGTTGTAGATATGATGATGTCGATATTTCTTCCTACGGTCTTCTTGTCAATGGTGCAATCCACTGGGTTGCAAGGCGTCGAGAGGATGGCCAGAGAGTTGTGGTGGCATTCGATCTAACGACTGAGCAGTTCAAAGACATGGCTTTACCTGATGAAGCTGAGGATTGCCCACACGAGCTTGGGGAATTTGAGCTCCATAAACTCAATGGCAGACTCTGCATGGTTTAAAAATGCTACGTTAACCACTATGATTTCTGGGTGATGAATGAGTATGGCGTGGCTAGCTCTTGGGACAGAGTTCGGATCAGCGTGTGGTTTATGTCCATGAATCCGCTGTGTTCGGGTAAGAAGGAAGAGGAAACTCTTATGGAACTAAATGCACAATTGGCACATTACAATTTCCGGAATGACACCTCTACGTCATTGGTCCTTAAAAATGCTACGCAACGCATTATAAGGGCGGCCGATGCATACATAGAAAGCCTCATATCACCAAACTCATATGGCAGGGCTTAGCATACGTGTTTAGACACTGAATCAAATTCATTTGATCACCTTATGATGATGATGATGCTGGTGGTGGTGGTTCATGAAGAAGGCTGTTGCAGATATTGGAGAGTCTTGTATCACGAGAAGATATGTACTTTTTTGGGTGAGGATAATGTATTGTGAATTATGAAACAAGAGTTTATAAGCTTGTTTTTTTATTTGTAAGTTAAATCCATCACCAGGAAAAGGAATGTCTTTTTGAAGTTTTTTGTAAGAAATGTGTATATACATATGGAATGTTGTCATTACCAAAGCTGGAGCTTCCTCCTAGATTCGTCATTGTCAAAGTTGCCCTATGGAAGATACGATCCAACGCTAAGGTTGTTGACCTTTTTTTTTTATGGAAATCAAATCACCATCGTATGCAATCGACAAAACCGGTTAAGGAATACCGGGTTTGGATGGGTTTGAGATTTCGGTGTCTTATATAAGGAGATTTGGAGAACTGATACACTCAGCTACTAAGAAGCGATAATGGAGACAGCGAAGAGGGCACGACGGAGAGACGACTACGACGAAAGACGAGGCGATGCTCTACCGCCGGAATTGCCCTGTCTTCCTCCAGAGATGATAAGGGAGATTCTCCTTCGATTACCCGCGAAATCGATCGCCGGATCCAGGTCCGTGTCCAAGCTCTTTCGCTCTCTCTCGTCGGATCCTGCGTTTGCCAAGACCCACCTCGATCTTTCCCTCCGAAACGAAGCCTTCCCATCAGGTCGGACAAGGCTCATCGTGCCTTGCCACAATCTCTACACGGTGGATTTCGATTCGATCTGTGATGGGTGCGACGGAATTAGGGATGTGGATGCTGTTGAGATCCATTACCCGCTCAAAGACCAGCTCAGCCTTCTGTACTCCGAGGATGAAGATAAGTATCCTGACATGGTTGATCCCGCGTATGAGAGAAACCCGGTTGCAATTTTTGGATCTTGCAATGGTTTAGTGTGTATCTCTCCTGATGAAGGCGCTTTGTTCTTGATCAATCCGACCACTGGAGAATCTAAGAGGATTCCAGACCTGCCCGAATCGCTACGATTGGGGTCCAGAGGGCTAGCGTTTGGGTTCTGGTTCGATTCTGTAGCCGATGATTATAAGGTGGTGACACTTGTCGTGCGTGATGATGTTCTGAATGCTGTTGTTTATTCTCTGAAGACAGATTCTTGGAAACGGGTTAGCGATTTGCGGTACAATGTGGGCTTTAACTTCCACAGGTCAGGGGTTCTTGTCAATGGTGTACTCCACTGGATTGTAAAGCTTCTAGAGGATCATGATCGACCATTTGTAGTGGCATTTGATACAATGTCTGAGCAGTTCAGAGACATGCCTTTACCTGATGAAGCTGAGGGTTGCCCACACAGCTCGAAGAGTTTTGAGGTCGGGAAACTCAATGGGCGTCTCTGCATTGTTAACTATTGCCACGACATGCACGATGATATATGGGTTATGAATGAGTACGGGGTGGCTAGCTCTTGGAGCGGAATTCGGGTCAGCATGTTTTACGGATACATGCAGCCACTGTGTTCGGCTAGGAACAAGGAGTACGCTCTTGCGGAACTAGATAGGGAGTTGGTGTTGTGCAATTTGGGGAATTGCACATCAAGGCCAGTGGTCCTTAAAGGTCGCCTCGTATCACCAAACTCATATGGTAGGGCTTAGCTCATTAGCATTGCTCCGGGTGCGTTTTGATTTATTGCTTTATTGGGTTTTGGGTGTTTATATATATATTCTTTATTGGGTTTGGGAGTCTTAGGAATTAGCCCTAGGGTTTTATAATATATAATTTTATCAGTATGGAAAACATGATTCAATGCTAAAGTTGCTAGCTTTTCATAGATATCAAATAATCATGATATCAATCCCACACAAACATCCGTCGTTGACAAGAGTGTTCTTATGAACATGTAACTAAGATTCTTCACAAAAACAATCTAGTAAAATATTCTGACTTTGATTAGAACAAGCTTACTTAATATAATAAAAAAAAACACACAATATTTGAGGGATGGAATCATGAAGTTTGTTATTAATATCGCAGTATGTAAAGTTTTTTTTGGTTGAATTGCAGTGTATAAAATTAAACACACGTATACATATATATAGAAAATAAAAGAAAATCTTAGATTAAATTATTTATATAATGATAAAAAACTATTTTCATACTTTTAATAGGATCCTCCTATTTATCGTTTTAGATTTTTCACACTTAACCATTAAAAAAATCATTTATATCCTCGTTAAATTAGAAAGTTTCTTAAAAATTAATTAAAAAATAAAATATATCTATTAAATAACAAAAAAGAATATTTTCTAAAATTTCATCGAGGAAGTAGCTTCTTTTTTTTCAGTTTTCAAACTACTGCATCTAACCCGGTTTGAACAGATTTTGAACATATTGAATTGGTAAAGACAAAAACCGGTTAAGAAATACCGGGTTTGGACTAGGGTTTCGAGATTTCGGGGTCTTATGATAAGGAGGTGAGAATCGGCACATCTGCTACTGAGAAGCGATGGAGAAAGCGAAGAGGGCACGGCCGAGAGACGATTACGACGAAAGACGAGGCGGTGCTCCATCGCCGGAAGCTCCCTGTCTTCCACCAGAGATCATAAGGGAGATTCTCCTTCGATTACCCGCAAAATCGATCGGCCGGTTCAGATGCGTCTCTAAGCTCTTTCGCTCTATCTCATTGGCTCCTGAGTTTGCGAAGACCCACCTCGGTCTTTCCCTTCGAAACGACACCTTCCGATCAGGTCGGCGAAGGCTCATCGTGTGTCGCCGCGATCTCTACATGGTAGATTTCGATTCCATAGTTGATACGTGCGACGGGATTGAGGATTTGGATGATGTTGAGATCCCTGAGTCTCCTGTCATGTCTGATCTGGTCTCGTCGTGTTATCAGGAAGGTTACTGGGTTCAAATGGTGGGGTCTTGTAATGGGTTGGTGTGTACAACTAATGATAACAACGACGTGTTCTTGTTCAATCTGACCACTGGAGAATCTAAGGAAATCCCGAGTTTGCTCGAATTTCTAAAATCGAAGTCCAAACAGGGGAGAGTCTATGTGCTTGGGCTCGGGTTTGATGCTATAACCAATGATTACAAGGTGGTGGCGCTTGTCTCGGGTGATGTTCAGAACGTTACTGTTTATTCCCTCAAGACAGATTCTTGGAAATGGGTCGGGGGTTCACGTCATGGATATTACGGTCCTGCCAGCGGTCTTTTTTTCAATGGTGCAATCCATTGGGTTGCAAAGCATCTAGAGGGTGGTCGGAGAGTTGTAGTGGCATTCGATCTAACGACTGAACAGTTCAAAGACATGGCTCTCCCTGATAAAGCCAAGGATTCCCCACATGGGTTCCTTCAGCTCCATACACTCAATGGCAGACTCTGCATGGTTTACAGATGCAATTTCGACTATGAATATAATGATTTCTGGGTGATGAATGAGTATGGGGTGGCCAGCTCTTGGGCCAGAGTTAAGATCAGCGAGTGGTACATGTCCATGAAGCCGCTGTGTTCTGCTAACAAGGAAGAGGAAACTCTTATGGAACTGAATGGAGAGTTGGTGCTGTACAATTTCAGGAATGATACCTTTACATCATTGTCCGTTAAAGATGCCAAGCTGCGCAGAGGATTTGAGGCCGATACATACATAGAAAGCCTCGTATCGCCAAACTCAATAGGGTAGGGGCTAAGGAGGCATACATAGTCGTCCGAAACGTCGGAGAAGGATTTTCCTCGGAATAAATCTGTGTTCAGAGGTGCATGATCCGGGATCAATTTCATCATCATCATCACCTTATGGTTCATGAGGGGCTGTTGCAGATACATATTTGGGGAGTCTTGTATCAGCGGAAGATATCTGCTTCTTTGGCCATGTAATACACGATTTCGTTTACTGATTCATATAGCTCAGTGAGGATATCACAAAACAAGAGTTTATATTTGTAAGTTAAATCAATCACCAGGTACAAAAAATGTCTTTTTGAAGTTTTTGGGAGAAATGTGTGTGTATATATATATATATGTGTGTGTGTGTGTATTTACCATGAAAAGTTGTAATTACCAAGCGATTCAACGCTAAAGTTGTCAACTTTTCGTGGATACCATGATTTTAATCCCCGCATGGACATTCTTTGTTGGCAAGAGCGTTCTTCCTTCGAAGATTGTGTGTATTGGATTGAATAACATATAGGATTCGTTGTCGGTCTTACTATATTAGATTTGGAAAATATATCGGTTTAAGGTGTACCGTGGACACTGGACACGCACTTAGACAAATAAAATATCAAGCGTGCGCATATATACAGAGGAGATACAAGAAAACCTAGATTAAATTATTTATATAATGATGGAAACTATATTCATACTCTTAGTAGAATCAAACACGTCTTGAAGCTACTTCATCAAACCCGGTTTGAACCAATTTTGAACATATTGAACTGGTAAAGACTAAAACCGGTTAAGAAATACCGGGTTTGGATTAGGGCTTGAGATTTCGGTGTCTTATATAAGGAGATTTAGAGAACTGACACTCAGCTACTAAGAAGCGATGATGGAGACAGGGAAGAGGGCACGATGGAGAGACGACTACGACGAAAGACTAGGCGATGCTCTACCGCCGGAATTGCCCTGTCTTCCTCCAGAGATGATAAGGGAGATTCTCCTTCGATTACCGGCGAAATCGATCGGCCGATTCAGGTGCGTGTCTAAGCTCTTTCGCTCTCTCTCATCGGACCCTAAGTTTGCGAAGACCCACCTCGATCTTTCCCTTCGAAACGACGCACTCCGATCAGCTCGGCGAAGACTCGTCGTGTCTTACAAACATCTCTACACGGTGTCCTTCGATTCGATCGTTGATACGAGCGACGGAACTAGGGATTTGGGTGCTGTTGAGATCCCCGAGTCTCCTGTCATGGTCAATTTCGTCTCATCGTATTATCAGGATGGCCGGAGGATTGAACTGGTCGGGACTTGCAACGGGTTGGTGTGTACAACTTCCGAAGACGCTGTCACGTTCTTATTCAATCTGACCACTAGAGAATCTAAGGAAATTCCGGGTTTGCGAGAATTTCTAGATTCGGTGTCCAAAGAGGAGACATTCTCTGCGTTTGGGTTCGGGTTCGGGTTCGATGCAATAACCGATGATTACAAGGTGGTGGCGCTTGTCACGGGCGATGTTCTGAATGCTAGTGTTTATTCCCTCAAGACAGGTTCTTGGAAATTGGTCGGAGATTCGCGTTATGAATATGCTAATTCCGCGGAGGGTCTTCTTGTAAACGGTGCAATCCACTGGTTTGCATTGCATGAAGAGGATGATCGGCTAGTTGTAGTGGCGTTCGATTTAGCGACTGAGCAGTTCAAAGACATGGCATTACCTGATGAAGCTGAGGATTGCGCACACGGGCGTGGGGGATTTGAGCTCCATAAACTCAATGGCAGACTCTGCATGGTATACACCTGCTGCGAGAACCACGATGATTTCTGGGTGATGAATGAGTATGGCGTGGCTAGCTCTTGGGCCAGAGTTCGGATCAGCGTGCAGTACGATAGCATGAAGCCGCTGTGTTCGGGTAAGAAGGAAGAGGAAACTCTTATGGAAATAAATGGACAGTTGGTGCTTTGCAATTTCCGGAATGACACCTCTACATCATTGGTCCTTAAAGATGCTAAGCTGCGCTGCATAATAGAGGCCGATAGGGCCGATACATACATAGAAAGCCTCATATCACCAAACTCATATGGCGGGGTTTAGCTCATTAGCATTAAACTACGTTTTTTGATCATTCTTTAATCTTTATTGGGTTTTGGGTGTTTTATATATATTCTTTATTCTTTGTTGGGAGTGTCAGGAATAGATGAACCTAGCCCTAGGGTTTTATTTATTTCCCTTATTTGTAAGGGAGCTTGGCTGATTAATAAAGGAGTAAGAAGAAAGAAGGTTTTAAGAGAAGAAATTGTCTTTTGGATCGGTCATGGAAGATTCTAATTCGTACGAGTGAGGATATGTGGGAGGAAATGTGTGTGTAATATATACCATGGAAAGCTGTCGTTACCAAAGTTGTGTGTGATATGACACTAAAGTTGTTAACTTTCGTAGAGATATCAAATCAGCATCATGAATAAGCTTACTTAATGTTGTTACATTTCATCCTATGGATCTGGAATTATCATCAACTTCCAATGCCATCGGAAAACTGAAGAAACCGATTATTTTTTTCTTCTTCCTTCCAAAACCCTAATCTAAGGGGCAAATATGAAAGAAAAGGCGATATAACATACATGTCATGATCGTTAAGACGAGGCACCAATGACCACGGCCACCACCACCACCACCACCATGGGGCACGGCCCGACCATCTCCATTGACAAACGAACAGGACTTCTTTTTCAGGAGATGAGCAAATCCTGCAAACCCTCATTTGAATCTGTAAAAGAGGAAATTTTTAAGCTGGCAAGGAAGTAGGGTTTACATAAACAAACCTCACCTCTTTCCAGAGACCTTCAATTGATGCCGATGACTCACTCCAATTCCTAATTCGGGAAATTAGATCTGGAAATCTCTCGTTTCTTCTTTTAGAAAAGAAAAGTGCCCAAATAATCAAACAGATTTCGCAATTGTGTACGAATTCACTTCAATAACTACATATAACATCTATAAGAAACGTAGGTACCATAAGCAAGAGAATCATTAACTGATACTATTTATTCAGAATCAGACAGAGCAGAACAGAGAGGATCTGGAGTCACAGAGACAGAACCCAGATCAGAATACAACCTTGAACCTACCGACAAATATCAGATTTTCAAGGCAAGAAACAAGAAACGAGATAATGAAGATGGTCTCTTACTTTCACTAGTTCCAGCTGTGTTCGTTCGTTCATCATCTCTGCCAACAAAGTTTCTTCCCTCCCTCGCGCATGATTTCATACGCAAGCTTGTACTTCTCCAGTGACGAAGTCCCGAACTCTATGTACTTGGAAGCTGCCTCTCTCAGGCTCCATACCATCAAGGCCTTGAGGTCCTGAGAACTTACACCCGATTCTACGTCTCTTACAAACCCAAACTCCGCGTTCTTGGTCCATCGGTGCAGTATATACCGTGATGGGAGTTCTCGTATGTCTAAGAGGTTGAACACTTTCAGTATATGCCTGCAGAGCAGTCCCTCGTATTCGAACATCTGACAACTGCAACTCGCGTTGAGATTCGACGCACTGAATGTCACAGCGTGTTTCTCATTCTCGTTTCCACATTTTCTCACCAGGAACCTGCTGATGGCTCCTTCCTCGTAGGTCTTTAGACCGAGATAGTTATATGATTGGACGAGCTCATTCTGGAAAATCCTGAAAATGGTGAGCGTGTACAGCCTTCTGCACTGTTCTTCGACGATTTCTTTTGTCTGCAGAAACGGCTGCAGGTTATAAGAATTGAAATCCTCTTTCCTTTCCTCCTCACGGCGTTGCTCGAGCCCTTGCTCGTATCGTGAGACAAACTCCCTTATCGGAGTTTGAGAATTCAAAGAAGTGCCAAAGAACGGTTCGATGCTGCCATTTATCGGGATTCCGCCAAAGAAAGTGGCCCTTAAATACGCAGGAACCCAGTTCTCACGCTTTTCGTACATTTCTCTGAGCCACACATTATCCCTCAGGCCGTATTTGTTGACAAGAACGTTCCACAATGTGTCAAACTCAACTGTTGTCTGCGTCTGGTATATACACTTCTCATACTCATACTTGAATTCATTAGGGAACGACCTAAGATTCTCTCGTTCCTTGGCCCTGATTTGCCAAGCTGAGTACCGGTGATGGGTCCCAGGGAAGACTTGAGCCACAGCCTGGAGGATAGCCGAGTCTTGATCAGCTACAATGGACCTTGGCCGGCGGCCAGACATGGCACGGAGCCATGTCTGAAATAACCACGTGAAAGCCTCCTTAGATTCGTCAGAAATGAGGGCACACCCGAGAAGCACGGGTTGCCTGTGGTGATTAAAACCGATAAAAGTAGCAAACGGGATAGAGTAGTTTCCTTTCCTGTAAGAAGTATCAAAAACGACAGCATCCCCAAACTGACTGCAGGCAAACCTCGCTCGGCTGTCCGCCCAGAAAATGCTCATACAGCTACCGTTGCTATCTAGTTCAACAGCATAAAAGAATCCCATGTCCTCGGCCTGTCTGGTTTGAAAATAGTCCAGAAGCATCGGATACCATTCCTTCCCAATCGTGTTTTCTCGGGTTTTCTTGATATGGTTGTTGAAGTCATTTAATTCAATGAGATCCACGGAATCTAACCCTCCTGTCGCATCCTCGGTAATCTTTTTCATACCCGCATTCTTCTTTCCCGGTTCAAGCTCGTGGTTATGATCTTTATTGAGACGATCCACTATCCAACCTCCAGAGTCCTGTCTTTTGATCCTCATGTAAGCTCCACATCCCATTCTTGAAGGATGCTGAAATCCTTCTTTCGAGCACACGAATCGTCTAGAAGTGATTGATCCGTCAACTTTCGAGCGAAACAACTGACCGATCCGAACCCTAAAACCCACAACTTCTGCATAAGCCTGATAAAACTGGCACCCTTCATTTGCTGACCCGAACTCCAAGCCTGCATACGGCTCAGTAGCCTTGGGCTGAATTTGCCCATTACTGTCTTCTGCACCTTTGAAACGTTTGAAAGAAATTGCACCAGAAGGGCACGACTGTGCTTTATCAGACTCATCGATAACTTTCATCTTGGGTCTGTGTGGAACCGAAATCGCTAGCTTTGTAGCGGCTGGACGTCTCTGACTTACGGCCGGTGGACGGGGAGTCTCCTCGACTTGGCCTCCAAGCTCATGGTTGTGCTCCTTCTGGATTTGGTCAAGAACCCATTTCCCCGTATCACGTCGTTGAACCCTGATGAAGGCAGGACAACCGGTCCTTGAATTCAGCTGAAAACCCCCCTTTGAGCAAACAAACCTTCTCGATGAAACCGTCCCATCTGTTCTTGATCGATAGAGCTGACCTGTCCTAACCTTGAACCCCGTACTCGTCGCATAAGAATTGTAGAACTCCCTCGCCTCTTCCGCAGAGTCAAATTCTAGACCCACATATGGCTCAACTTCCGAGTCTCCTTCATCTTCGCCTACGCCATTGTTGTTCATAATCCGAACCATGCCTAATGGATAAGCTTTCACAACCATATTGTTCCCACAATTCAGACTGGCAGGCTCAGTATCTGCACTGCATCGACCCAAAAGGAAACAAATAACAAGCATAAATAGTCATAACTACTAGGAACAGTCAGAATCCACACAATGTTAATATCACTAAAATCCGAATTAAGCATTAGCTACAGCTATACATGAATTCTATCAACCGAGGAAACATATGAATAAACTGGGAATCTGCAGCTTGAAGTAGGGAAATTTCCAATATTAGCACGGATAAATGTTAGGAGTTACACGGAAACTTGCAGTAAAAGCAGATACAACACCCACACAGATGCCCACTGAAGATTTTGAGAGAAGATGTCTTTCCCGAAGAAAATGAAGGGAAAAAAAAACGCCCAACCCACGAAATGAAGAAGGATGTGAAGCGAGCTGAAGCTAGATCGAAACCCATCGAGGATTAGCGACGAACAACACAGAAACCAAACGAATCCAACACCAAGAACAGAAATCATCTCCGTGGGAAAATAGAAAGAAACAAAATCCACGCACAGATCAGCTAGGGCGTCCTTCCGATGATGATTACCTCTCCATCTTCCGCCGAAAGCGGCAAGAGACCACCGAATCAGAGGGGAGCAACAAAGGTAAAACCCAAACCCTCTCCCCTGAACTTGACGGCGATTGCGAGAGAGCTCGCGACACCAACACTTCGCAGATTGTGGACCCACTTCAAGGCTTCAATTTTCGACCCTCCTCATTCTCTTTGGCGGGAAATTGATGGAGGTAGGAACAATAATTAGGGATTTCAGCGAACGAGATAGACAGAGAAACCACAGAGGAGAGGAGAGGAGAGAGAGAGCGCTGAGAAGAAGTTCTTTTTTATCCATGGATTGACCGAATTTAAAATTTTATGTAATAATAAACAAATTGAATTTAAAATTTTATGTAAAATTTTAATTTGTCAAAATAATTTTCCATCTGAAAGGACATGGGCTCCATCTTATCCAATAAAAAAAAAAAGCCCTTTCATCTCGTCGGATTACTGAAAAGATCGGGGGATCAAACTCTTGAGTCCCGGCGAATTAATCAAAATTACTCGAGCGATTTCGAGTTGCGAATTGGAGAATCTGCTGGGACGAAATCAGTGATACGCCATGGATAGAGCTTCTCCGTTTGTTCCTTACCTTTCTTCAGAAATCGTGCTCGTTGAAATCATAATAACCAGGGGTGTTGATTCTGGGGCCGAGGAATTAAAACCGATCGGCGGCGGAAGCTTTTCGCCGGAAATATGTCGGGGGAGCTATACGGAAATGACTGAAATCTTCTCTAAGATCATGAGGGAGAAACGAGATGGGAGCAAATTCTGGTATCTTATTTTCCTTCGTTTATTTTCAAGTGTCTCAATGAGTGTGGGAGGTTCTGTCGGACCAGGAACTACACCACTATGTCGGATGAAGATACTGAGAGAGTATGCTGAAGCAGCAGTAAAGGATCGAAAATTACATGAAGACGACGACCAATTCTTATACAGATAACAACAAAGAGAAAGTAAACGGTAACGGTAACGTCTCTTGTCTTTGGCAGAGCATTAAAAAGAGAAATTACATTACAATAATATCAGAAGTCAATCCTCTGTTAAGACAACGATACTCACATGAACAAAACCAAGCTTCAACACAGGAAACTTCATTGCTGGATCTATAAACTGACAAGAAGAACCAAGATATAAAGACAGAGACTCTCTCTTCTCGGAGTGGAAAGAGGAAGAACAAACTCACTGTCTTATGGATTTTGCAGGCGAGAGACTCTTTCGATTTCGTTGATGATCAGCTCCTTTTCCTCTTCGAATTGGTCATCTTCCGAGCCTATGAAAGATCACATATCGTGTGAAAAAGGAAAAAAAAATAATCAGTAACTGAAGAGACAGGGTTCAACTGGAGCTGTTATTTGGCTCGGGTGTTCGAAGAACGAATTTCCAACTGGAAGACATCCACCAACTGTTAGAGGAAGATCAGATTTGGCTCGGGTGTGAGAAGATTCGATCATACTGGAAAAGGGTTCACTTTTTTCCCCCAGCAGCCGTAGGAGAAGGTCCACCATAGGTTCACCTCTCCCGAAGGGCTCGGAGAAAACAAAAACAAGGGCGAAATTGTCCTTGAACTTACTGACCACCTGTGTTGGCCGGTTGAGTTCTGGGTTTAGAGGGCAAATAGTATTTTTTTTTAATCATTTGGAGTCTCAAGGAACATTACCTTTACCGGGTGAGAGGTTGTGAAGGAGTTCAAGCAACTTCTCATGGTTTTTGGCCAATATGATCTTCACTTCTTGTGGTTTATTAGGATTAGCAACAAAGACCTGCATGAGCATAAGTCATGAGTGAAGATGATGAAAAAAGAGTAAGGAAAAGCTAAGCTCAATTTCACACTTCAGATGCCAAACACAACTTGTTGCCAACACTTATTCCAATCTTCGATCTAGTCAACCGCCCAACTACAATGGGATGGATATTCTTGCTCATTACATTCTTTTTATGGAATCATTGCGCATTTGCACCTTAAAAATATGGAAGGCTGATATTTGAATATTCTTGCTCGAGTCCTGCTCGGAAGAAAATGAACAGTGGATATACAAGAACTGATGAGTAGTGAACAATAAAAACACAAATAAAAGGAAAAAAAAGAGTAATGACCTCATGAGTTATTGGCCGTGCTCACCTTAAGCAGTGTCATTATGACTTTCAAGTAACGCACTTCTAAGATAAACCTCTTCATTATGTGAGAATTTGGTGGCTCCAACAGGAAATCCGAGAGAAGCTAAAATCAAACCATTCATTTACACTTTGTCGTTAAGACGATACGAAAAATTCAAGAACAGTGTCATGGAAATGTATACCAGAAAATGGTCAGGAGCCAACAGACCTTCAATGATTGCCTTCTTGTCACATAATTCGAAGATGTCAACAGTCTTTCGTAGAGATCAAAGAACTGGAACAACCAGAAAAAACCCATCAGCTAAGGAGAAGAGTACTTGTTATGTACATGTAAAAATCCCATTTTTCTCTTCATGAAAACACTAACAAAGCCTAAGGAAACCGCTTGAGTTAACATCTTTGTAAACACTGGGTCTGGAGTCCGACTTCTCCCAATTATTCACAGTTCATTGGTGACAAACCCGTGGGTCCAAGGCTCGGTATTTACACGATTCATATGGCAAACTTGCTTCATATGGATCTCATGGAGTATTCGTGATTATAGCACAAAAAAAAAAGCAACTCTTGGATACCAAGATATTCCAAAAACCAATGCACAAGCATACCTCGTTATAATGAGAAGTGAGATACTCGGAGACAACAGAGTCGTGTTTCGTCAGAAGATCCTGTGAAGGTTTCCTAGAGATGTATGAATGAGCCAATCCTAACAAGTCCATGTAAAAAAAAATAGAGGTTACAATGAACTGGATACTACCTTGAATGTCGAAAATGCATCAGAAGCAACATCAAAGTTTGGCAACTCCACGAACTTGAAGAACAACTCAAAGCTTGCAGACTCTAAAATATACCTGAGAAAGCACTACAGAATTTAATAGTGTGATAAAAGCATCGAGCTAGATTCCAACAAGTCGGTCAGCTGCTGCCAAACTTATAATCAGCATAAGCATGGATTGGAACCATAAAAAACAAGCAGGATTTCGTGTCAGCCTTACTTTGCAAGACTCGGAAATTTAATGCACTCCCTCAACATATTTCCACAGTGCAGAGCAATCTCTTTGTTGTCATAACTGCTCATATGCAAGATAAAAATGCAAATCAGAACTAAATTTAAAGTTAACATCGAAAGGATAAATTAATCATCACACTCAACAGCTAGAGGTAGATTGAATTCAGAGGATGCGGCCAGAAAATTAGAGATCTTTATAATACTTACCATACAACCAGGCAGTCAAGCAACTCGAAATGGTCCTCAAAGTATTCCACACAACAATAAGCCTGGCCAACTTTTTGCTTCAACAAGATAGCCCAGCAGTGCATTAAATCTTTTCTAGTCTGAAACAGAGCAATCGCATCAGCATGTATTCTGTTAACAGAGCAGGCTTTAAGCACGCTATGGATGATACATGCCGACTTACTTCCCATCCCAGTATGGGCAACTTATGAACAACAAGTGCAATCACATCTTCTTTACAAATTTCCATTGCTAACTGTACAGCTTGATCAGCATTTGGTTCAGCCTCCCCATCCCCGGAAAGCATGCCTCTCAGAGAAGAAAAGTTCTTCTCGACTTCCTCCAAAGCCTACAAGGACAAAGGACTGCCATTCAACATTCGCTGAACAAACACCAAACACTAACTTTGGGAGAGTGAAATCATCTGATGGCATACTAATTAACAATCTATTCAGAGATAACACTACATTCCTCAAGCTTCTATAATTATGAAGAAGTAAGACAGTGAAATTGGCCAAAATCCTATCGATTCCACAACGAAGAGAAGAACCAAAATGCAAAACGCAAATTTTCCGTTAGTTTGATGAATTCCAACTTAACGCAAGGCCATGACTTTATTCAGGCAATACAATGAACAATCCCAAGGGTATCCTTCACAATTCAAGAGAGACCAAAGACGATGATAAAGAGGACAGTTTCTAACCAGGAGGAACTCAGAAAAAGCAAAAATTGAACCGAACCCATATCGCTAAAGGAAAATATTCCGGAAACCCACTCTCAAATTCCAGCTCTCAGACTCGCACTAGACACCGTCGCAAGCAAAAACCAGAAACCATTGGAGCAAATCCATCCTACCAGAGAAAAGTCTAAACCCAAAAAGGAGGGAGAAAATGAACACCAACAAACGTAAAGAAACAACCACGAGCAGCGAAAACGAAGTTTACCTTCTCGAGGGCTTTAACTTCGACGACGGTCTTGGTGTCCAGAGCCATGAGACTGTCTCTGATCGCCTTGACGACCTCTTGCGGCGTCTTAGGCCTCGAAGGCTTGAAGAAGAACGACATCGCCGCGGTAAATCAGATTCCAATCTTCCGGATTCTCTTCAGATTCCGAACTCTCCAGCGAAATCGGCGATCTACAATTCATGCAATGGATGATGGAGAGATCCTCAGAGCAACAGGTGGGAGGGAAGGCGACACTCGCGTCTTCTGTTCCCCGTCTCGTTCTGCGGAATGCAGATCGTCAATCATGCACATTTTTTGAGAATTTGACCCCTGAAAAAACACAAAAGAAAAAATAAATGCAAAAGAAATGTGTCAACCTCCTGTTTGGTAACAGGTTTCATTTAATCCCCTACCCGAGGCTGACTATTCAACCTTTTATAATTCGACTTAAACGATGTCGTTGTAAAAGACGGTACCGTATATAAGGGCATGACTTCCGTCTTTTGAATCTAAGATTCCCTCTCTAACAAAGTCGTCAGGTTCTGTAGAACTGAGGAATCTCTCTTTTATCATCGGTAAATAACTCCAATTTCTCAGAATATTCGCTTCTTTTGTAATTTCTATAGATTTCAGGCTTGAATCTCATTCGGATCTCAGTTCGCTCTTTGAAACAGGGATGAATCAAGACAAAATCGGTACTTTCTGTTTCTTCTTGATCATTTCTTCGTCGCTAGGTTGTGTTAGTGATCTTGAGGTCGATTTTCATTCCTTTTCCGATCTGGAATTTGTTCGATTTTATGTATAGTTTTCCGAATTTCTGTGAGTTCGGGAAATCGAGTCAGATTCTGTCTATAGTTCAATTAGGGTTTGACAAATTTTCTATTGAATCGAAGACGATGAAATTGAATGAAGAATGAATTGAATTTTTTTTTCCTCTTGTTAAAGGAATGAATAGAATCTTCCTTCTGTACAGATTTACTACCTATTGTACAACGCGGATTCTGAATTGAATCCAGAGAGCAAAGAACAGGAAACGAAGGAGAGAGGAAAAAAGGGTATCATCTTTGTGGATACCATGGAACCCTAATGCACATCTCTTGCATCAGTGTGTTTAGTTCTCTCCCGGTTTCTCTTAGACTTTCACTTGTTTTGGAACCAAATGGAAAACTTGCTCTCTCGATGGCCTTTTTGTCTTAGCCCAACTGCTGCTCTCTACTCTTCTAATGAATGTCTTGATGAACGGTACAGATCATATGGAGCCCATAGATGATCAACGATGCACGGCTTCCTCGAATCCAACCTCAGCCATGGCTTCCCTTTTCCACTCCAATGGAGAAGGCTAATCGGACCCGGGTGCAACGTTCTACATCTCCCTTCAAAATTATCGCCCCCGAGACCGTGCTGGTTCCACCTGTGGTTCACCGCCTTTATGTCTCCGGCAAATATCAGCAGGATTCTGGGGCCGAGGAATTAAAACCGATCGGCGGCGGAAGCTTTTCGCCGGAAATATGTCGGGGGAGCTATACGGAAATGACTGAAATCTTCTCTAAGATCATGAGGGAGAAACGAGATGGGAGCAAATTCTGGTATCTTATTTTCCTTCGTTTATTTTCAAGTGTCTCAATGAGTGTGGGAGGTTCTGTCGGACCAGGAACTACACCACTATGTCGGATGAAGATACTGAGAGAGTATGCTGAAGCAGCAGTAAAGGATCGAAAATTACATGAAGACGACGACCGAGGCAATGATCCCGGGTGGTAAATCCTCTTTTGCTTTTGCACCCCCATCCACTCCTCTACTTTCTGTGTATAGCCTCCTTTCCTCCATTTTTCCACGTCCACTACCATCACCCCTGTGTTAAAGTAACACGGGTGTCTTCCTTCAAGCACTTTAGCCAATTCCGGGTCTGACCAGAAAGCGTTTGTGAAATAGTGGGTGAAATTGGCATGGCAATACTCAGGAGCTGCCACGATTTTTTCCTCCATCTCCACACGCCACAGTTTTTCTATATCATCTACAACGACAAGGTCGGAATCCAGATAGATAATCCTGCCCACATTGATAGGTAGAATATCCGCGAGGTAGATCCTCGCGTAGTTCAGCGGCTGATCAAGGGCCTGCCTTATCGATTTCGATATTTTGCTGCGGACAAGGTTAGAGTCAAACTGGTAAATCTTGAAATTGAGATACGGGAACGTGGATTTGATGCTGGTGAAGAGCTCGGTTTCGAGATGAGGAAGGGAGAGGAAATGGAAGGAGAGGTTTTCAGGGCACGTGGAATGCTGCAGCAGGGACAAGACAGCCGCCATTGTTCCACGGAGGTAGTTTGTGTCGAGCGTCATGGCGATGTGGATCTGATCACCCTCTCGGATTCCACACTGATCCCCGTTCCTGAAAGCCGGGGCTTCCTGGAAAACGGGCAGAGCGGGCTCGGGGTGCTTTCTGAGAACGACGCCAACACGAAGGGCCAAAGTAATATAGGAGCTAACCAGGAGGATAAAGGACAGAAGGCCTAGGAGTTGCGGCGGATGAATTGGGGAGGAGCTGCTCCTCAAGGCCATCCTGAGCCTAATCTCAGGTAATTCTTCAACTCTTACCTCTTTTTTTGTGGTTTTTTTTTCAAGTTCTACAGATTGATATTAAAGAATATGGATGGTTAGAGCCATTGTTGGCGTCGTCTAGATTATGGAATTGAGGGAAACGTTTTGTTTATGGTAAAATCAGAATGTGGGGAAGGGATAGAACTTCGGTTATTTTCCCGATATTAGAAAAAAAAAAATTGTTTCTTTTTCTACAAATAAACCTTTCAAAGCAAAATTTGGATGATTTATCAACTCTCGAAACCTTGGGAATTTTTAGATCACATTGTTGTTTATTAGATTTTTTATAGTTTGAAACTGGGACTGTACATTTTCGGGATTTGCTTATTTTAGGACAATATCTGGTCGGCCTAATTTGTGCCCCCCGGATAAAAATTTGGATTTGGAATTTTAACTTAATCAAATGAATGAAAGGGAAAATCAGAGGTTGAATGGGGTACTAATCCGTGAGTTTATACACAATTTAGGTACTTTTTACCGTACTGAAATCATTACATTCTTCTGTTTTTAAAATATCCATTTTGGAAATGTTTTTTTTTTCCTGGTTGGGTATTTTTAAATGTTGACTGGATGGTTTAAGATAGCAAAAATCGCGTTGCAATTGCATGGGGGCGGGGAGAGTTACAGGTAAAATACCAAAGTTCCTAGATTTTTGGAAGTTAGCAACTCAACTAATGCGTCTTTAGACTTAACAACGCGAAATTTGCCGTACGTCCATTCCGTACCATCCGTACGATATTTATAGTTTCTATAGAATCCTCAGTCGGTGAAACCTTGCTTGGGCCCTTTGGATTCCAATGTAATCTTTTTTCAAGGGCCCAATATGGCCCATTTTATGCTACCAAGATAATTAAATTTAGAAAAAAAATATATAGCATTTTAATCTAGAATCGAAATGTGTTATATCGATATGATTACTATTATATATGAACCATTATCACTTTATATAATGATAATTACTACAAATTATGAATTTTCTAATTAGTTTAGTGGTTTAGTAAGTATTAGACAATCGCTTGTATAAACTCAAAACTTCGAATTAAAAGCGCATGAGTCGCATTTTTCAAAGTAGATATGTCGAAACATATCTAAGTTTTCGTGCATGTATACAATGATTTGGGTCATGACATTATGGTAATCATCATGCGATGGCTTTCCTTTAACTATATGATACGCGTTACATAGAATTTCCAAAAAACTCCTTTGTGGATAATTCCCCTACGAGTAGACCACTCTTCTTATTATCATTTTATGTCTGCCTACGACCTCCTCCAACATCTGTTCTTATTGTAAGGGCTTGCTTGGAGACACTCTAATATCTCTACGTGCCTCTACGACACTCCCTCCTCCAACAACATCATACCCTTCTTCATCTCTCTCTCTCTCTCTCTCTCTCTCTCTCCCCAAACACGTCACTTCTCTGTCTCTTTCTTTGTCTTCTTCATTCTCTTTTCTTTTAGAAAGATAAATGTTTTTGAAAGTCTAAACTACAACAACGCTTTGTTAATGAACATTCTAGGCCATAACATTAAAACATTCTCGCATATCCTTTAATCTCGTAAAGATATATGATATACAATGCTACGACGAAAAAAAATGTGTAGACAGGAATTTAAATCGCTAATATATAGTCACGGTAAATGAAAAAAAAAAGACAAAATGAAACTGGGAGTTATTTATCGCGAATAAATAGAAGTTCAATGATGCTCTTAGCTTGCAATTAATAGGGAAAAAATATGTATGGCAAGACTTGCAAGCGAACGACTGCGAGAGGAATGAATGTGTCCACAAGCAAAGATGATGAACCATAATAAAATGGAATGTAATCATGTGAGATACATGCACAGAGAGTAGAATCTAATTATATGTACCCACAAACCCTAATTGACAAACTATTTAATTACTTGATTTTATCAATTAATTAATCAGTGCACATACTGTAGTTTAAGAGTTCCAAGATGTTCGTAATCTTAGCTTTTAGAGCACTCCCACGTTTCTAATTGGGAGAACTAAAGTGGGTTTTCTTTTTGTACAATAATCTTATATATATATATATATATA